GGACTGTTTGGTGGATGAAGAATTGGTTGGGTGTTAGCATCCAGATGGTAGTGGTCAACAGCTAAACATCCAGATGGACATCAGTGACAAGTGGTGTCCCTCAAGGGTCCATATTGGGACCAGTGCCATTTAATATCTTCATCAACAACATAGATAGTGGGATCAAGCGCACCCTCACCAAGTTTGCCAATGACACCAAGCTGAGCGGTGCGGTTGACACGCCTGAGGGACAGGACGCCATCCAGAGGGACCTGGACAAGCTTGAGAAGTGGGCCCATACGAACCTCATAAGGTTCAACAAGGCCAAGCACAAGGTCCTGCATCTGGGTTAGGGACACCCCTGGTATAAATACAGGTTGGGGGGTGAAGAGATTGAGAGCAACCCTGCCGAGGACTTGGGGGTACTGGTGGACGAAAAGCTGGACATGACCTGGCCGTGTGTGCTCACAGCCCAGAAAGCCAACTTTATCCTGGGGGCATCAAAAGAAACATGACCAGCAAGTTGAAGGAGGCAATTCTGCCCCTCTACTCTGCTCTGGTGAGGTCCCACCTGGAGTACTGCATCCAGCTCTGAGGTCCTCAGCACAGAAAACACATGGACTTGTTGGAGCAGGTCCAGGGGAGGGCCACAAAGATGATCTGAGGGCTGGAGCACCTCTCCTATGAAGACAGGCTGAAAGAGTTGGGGTTGTTCAGCCTGGAGAAGGCTCCAGGGAGACCTTAGAGCAGCCTGCCAGTACTTAAAGGGGGCTTATAAGAAAGATGAGGACAAACATTTTAGCAGGGCCTGTTGCAATAGGACAAGGAGTAATGGTTTTAAAATAAAAAAGGGTAGATTCAGACTAGATATAAGGAAGAAATTTTTTACAGTGAGAGCGGTGAAACACTGGAACAGGTTGCCCAGAGAGGTAGTAGATGCCCCATCCCTGAAAATGTTCAAGGCCAGGTTGGACAGGGCTCTGTGCAACCTGATCTAGTTGAAGATGTCCCTGCTGATTACAGGGGAGTTGGACTAGATGGCCTTTAAAGGTCCCTTCCAACGCAAGCTATCCTATGATTCTATGACTGGGGTTCTAGTCATGCAAGCAAGCATCATCTCAACCACAGTTATTTACTTACGTAAGGGAAATGTGTTTTAAATTAAACAAAAAGAGACCCATGAGTAGATTTTTTTTGTGTGCTTCTGTAGTGCTTTATTCCAGGCTGTTTTTCTCCTACAGCAGTTATTGACAGATCTCTGTTCTGGTTCTTACAGATTACAAAAACATACCACTTGAAGGCCCTGATTTGCCTCCCAGATAGGAACCTGCACAGCCCTAAAGCAGGTAAGATTGGAATACATGGACACAAACACCCTTCCACATGCATAGGCTTGTGGAAGTGGGTCTCTCTTAGCACTGATCTCGTTTTGTACACAGTTAAGGCAATACCTGTTTGTGTCATGAGGTATGTACATATATGAGAATACTATATATATATTAATCACTGCTAGATACCTCTGTTTAAGGTTAAATCTTCACATGTTGGATATCAAAGGTGTGTTAAGTGAATGCTGAACTTTCATTAGAAACTCTCAAAATCCTCCTGTGGTGGTATTTGAATTCTAAACTTTTGGCTATACTGTCCACTGTGTCTACTGGCTGGTCACTCATGTCTCAGAATATAAATGTTAATAGCAAACTTACAAATCATTTTTATCTATCAGCAATGCCTGTTGTGGGAGGATTATTGTCTGTTAGATGCAAGTTACCTAAGCTCTTAGCAGGGTTTGTGAATTCTACAGCTTCTCCATTTAAGATCCACAACTAACTGTGGGTGAAAATGAGCAGCAGTCGTTATAAGAAGGATGCCATTCATCAGGATGTTTTGTATTTTCCTGTTTGGTGAGCCACAGATTTATAGATGAGCAATGTATAACTAAAGTGGAGACTGCTGGCAGGAAACCAGAGATTTTAGCAATAATTAGAGGAAAGCTGAAGGTTTTGATATCTGCAGAGGATTCAGGAGGTGTTTTGGAGCATGTGTGGAAGCTCCAGCTAATGTGCATATCCCTTAAAGCAGTTAACAAGGACCCCTAACAGAATTCATGAAAAGTGGAACCTTTAGATCTCAGACTGAAAAGCCTTTCCTATGAAAGAGATAACTTATTCATCGTGTTATATTTCAGCATGTCTGTACATTCAGGAATGCATTTCTACACCATTACTGTTGAATTCATGTTTTCAAAACAAATTAGATTGGAGTCTTTAGCCAGGCTGTGTGCCCTTAGAGTTTACCACTTGCCTGCAGGAAGGGCTTGCTTACAAATAAAGCACCCTGATCAAGTCACATTGCCACATCTCAGACTCCTACTTAAAACCATATTTCTAGGGACAAGTTGTAAGACCAATATTCCTGTATGTGGTACATTGCTGTTTCAATGTCTTGTTCATGCTCCTTTTGTCAAGTATGGGTGAACATCTAAAACATTGCACCATGTAGAGCCCCACATCAGGCCATGGGAAGGGAATCTAAAGTAATACTCAAGTTACAAAGCTGTTCAACACTGGATGTTTAAAATAGGGACCCATTTGACTTTGTACACAATAACACTTGTCACAGGGTTATTACTTTTGCACCTCCATGACAGTGAGTCTCAGGGAGAAGAATTAGCTTTGGTACAGCCTGAAGTTGAGGTTAAAACCAGAAATAGCATTTCATTTTCTGTCATGCTGTTGAAATTGTTACATCCTCCAAAAAGCTGCCAATCTAAATTAAAGCCAAATTAAACGAAGGAATACTTTTTACAGCCAGAAGACAGAAGCTTTAAGAACTACAAATATTTGCCTGCTGTGCATGCACTTTCCCACCATGATGCAAGCAAGGTCTAGACCCTGATGTCCATAACTTATCAATTATCATTCTTCTGAGGGTGAAAATTAACCAGTGCTTAAAAAACATTACAGATCCTTAAAAAAAAACCCCAAAGTCAGCATAATTCAAAATTTTCTTGGCTGCCTTCCTAGCACCAGGAAAGCAAACTGGTGTTTTCTATGTGCAAAGGCATAATTGCAGCAAGAACTTGCATTATTTATTACATTATGGCATCAGCATTTACTTCTGAATACATCAAGTCAAGGCAAAGTGTTAGCTGTCTACAGTGGCAATTTCTTTCTCCTCTTCAGACATCTCCTCAGAGGTGGAAGATTTCTCTCTACAGACAAGGTACTTCACACCTAATGTGTTCTCCAAAGTTACTGGGTCCATTTACATTCAATGGACTTTGCATTAGGTTTTCAGGCCTCGTTTTTAAAAAATATTTTGGTAATACCCCACAGACAATTTCAATATCTGACTCAGGTCACAACAAAGTGGCAACAATAGGTGCTTCACTCTGTTCCCTCTCCCTTACTGCTTGTTCCTGCCACTCTTAACAGTTTCTTTAGTTAAATCTGTTCCCTCATCTGATTCATCTCAGAGAAGTAGTGCAAATCTTTGAGTTGAGATGCTGTACAAACATCCTAGTTTGCACCTTCAGTGTAAAGTGGCGATTTCCAGGCTAAGCTAAGGTGCCTATACAAACTGTATAAGTGAGCTCTGCTTCAAAGCATAAATATGTGTCTGAAGGTATATGTATACTGGAATGCACATTAAAGTTGGGTAATAACATTTGTCAGAATACAAGTTAAAGTTGCTACATAGCCATAGTGTGACATTTTTATGGGCACAGTTTCTAACACTAGAAATTCTTGAAAATCTGCTTACATAGTTTCAGTTCTGCTATTGTATTTGGTCATGCAACACCAGCAATGGGAATACTATAACAAAAAGCTCACAGTCTCAAGACAGAAGCACTGCATAGGCAGGAACATTTTTGTCCACAATTCACCATGCAAATTACACCACTGTAGACATAAGACTAAAACATCAAGTTTCAAGCTCATTAAAGGTATCAGGGAGCTGTATTTTTTGCTGAAATTGATGGCATTTTGACTTTTACCTGTGGCTAGCTGGTCTCTTACTTTCATTCTGTGTTTTCCAACTCCCATCTGTATAGTACTACCTACGAAATGTATAACTCATCACAAATCCAGGCAACTCCCAAACTATATCGCTGTGAAATTCAACCAGCACAAAGTTCCCAGTGGAAGTAAAGTCTCCAACCTTCTCTGTACCACAATAAGGGCCAACTGCAGGTGATGTAGGTCGGCTTCCATCATGTATGAGCAAGTAGTCATAGATGCATCTGTCACTATCTTCCAGCTCAAAGGATAACATTTTGAGAGAGATCTAGAGAAAATACAACCAAAGCACTTTGCTTCCAGGTTATATCCTTTTCTCTTACCCTTTGTATGTAACAAGCACAAATAGTCTAAATTCCTTGTGTGCAGGCACCATTTCTTATTCTGTGTTTGTACAACATCATGATCCCATATTGTAATGCAAATTACTAGCAAATTGTTTGCTTAGTTCATCAGCCCTTGCATTGGAAGTGGAAACAAGAGACAAGATTGATCTTGTATGCTTTAAATTCTTTTCTCTAGAAAAATATAAAAACGGCACCTGTACAATGTTTCAGTTTTCTAGTGGGAACTCTTACCTAGGGATTATTCTGAACAAAGCCTACTGGTATGAGCTAAATTCATAAGAGTTCACATGCACGTGTAAAGGTTTTCCCTTGCTGAATACCTCTGATACCAATAGCCAGCATAAGTTCTTAAACTGGATTTTTGTGTTCAGATTTTTACTCTAAGCATGCCGTTCAAAAAGTGACATTAACAGTTATTATTCTCCAAGGCCAAAAGAGATTACGGTAGAGAACACTGATGAAACCCACAAATTAGTTCATCTGTGCCTTACCTTGTATCCTACTGGAGAACTGATGACCCAGAAGCATGCTTGGTTTTTGGGATATTTATTGGGGTAGTTTGGAGAGGAGATGACTCCATTTGAGTCTGTGAAAGTGTCACCACAATTCACTGAGGAGTAAAGGAGAAAACCAGAGAAAGGCATATTAACAAGAGTATTTTGGCAGTAGAAGTGAGCTTGCTTATATTCTATTGTATTCTTCCTTTAAGCCAAGATAAAGTGTGCTACCATGAAAATTTACTACTGAAATATTTTATTTCTTTGCTTAGTATTTGTATCAGCAGCTGCACTGAAGGAATTAAAACCATGGCTGCTAAATAACCTTTGGAGGACAGGAAACAGCTGCATCTAAAGCTATATCTGTCTTTACAATTGAGTGTTACCATATTAGCATAGCATTCTAACAGTACTAACTTACTGCACTTTCAGAAAAGAATTAGCCCAAGTATTCAAGATTGCATTATCAAGCTAGATCTAATGCTATCTAGAAATGACTCCATCAAGACTAATGCAAAAGGAGTAAAAATGACACATTTCTAAGACTTCTTCAATTTAGGCTTTAAAAAAGTTTGCATTTGAATTTGAAATAAGGCAATAACAAGTTATTTGGGCTACTGCCTTCTAACTCAAAGCATGTTGCAGCACAACAGAATTTTATCCAGCAGTCCATAATGCATTTGTATGTTCATAAAACAGACACCCCTCAAGTGACTCCAGTAAGCACTGTGTTTCATGTAACATAACAAAAGCCTTTAATTCAGAAAGTCTAAGTTATCCAAGGTTAGTATCTCTTCCATTGCATAAAATGCCACAAAACCTCGAATAACATATTGCCCAGATTCTGGCTTTACATCTCATTGGTTGAGATTTCTCATTGAGTTCTGCAGTCTTTGTGCTCTTTGGCTGCACTGCTCCTATTACAGTTGTCGCGTTGTTTTCCGTAGCAATTGCTACGGAAGTGTAAAGAGTAACACAGAAAAAAAACTACTCTGGAGTACATGTTCAAAATTTTCAGTTCTTCCATACAAATACTATTAACGCTGTTCTCCAAGCTCTGTAAAAGAGTGTTCATACCTCTGTTGTAGGAGGCCCTGAATCCTGTGGCTGTAATGCTCTCATCACTTGCAAACTCCACCAGCATTGTCGATCCAGATGCCACTAAGGAGGGCAGTGGCCCCTTCCCACAGTATTTGTCCAGCAAGACAGGGGAATTCTTGCTGTTTCCATTGTAAATTTTTATATAGTCAGAAGAACAGTCCAAAGAGGGTTGGAGATCAAAAGCCTCAAACTGCAGGAAAATCTTCAGAAACAAGAAAGCAGATGTTGGGTTTAATGCTATACGCAGGGAAAGATTCAAACCATCTAATTGTTATGAAGTGAACTAGGACTTCGTATTCATTTTACTATCAATGTATCACTGAAATTTTATTTCTGTATAAAAAGAGCATAAAATTTCACCTAGCTACCCTTTTACTGAGCCTAGTGATTGATGTTTGACTATTGCTTGTCTTTGAAAAGCCATCCAATCTTAACTGGATAAAAGTCAAGTTAAATAATGCATCTGATAGTCTTAAGTCTTATGAAAACTGTTGAGACTGTCTTTTCATTCACTGCGTAACAAAATAAATGCCTTGGTCCACGAAAATGACTCCCAGAGGGTAGTCATAATAATGAAATAATGCTGTGTAGCTTTGACACTATGGTTCAAACCTTTTTTCTCCCAATAAAAATTACCTTACTTTGACGGATGCGGATCAACCACAGGCAGTTGCTATTGTTCGGGTATGGGGATGGGTAATTGACAGAGGAGAAGGAGCCTTTGGCTTTAGGCAACACAGAGCTACAGCAATCTGAAAGGAAGAACCAAATAGCATTGAAGAGAATGAAAATTGCACAAAAATCTTCCAGAAATGCCTGACAAGGCTCTCCAAGCATTTGCAGTCAAGCTTGTAAAAGAGAAATGAATTATAATGCTTACAATTGTGTTGATGTTCCTAGTGTAAAAGTTATTCAAAACCTGCAAGTGAAATAAAGCTAGTTAAGGTACTTATCTGCTTCAGCTACTGATTTTTATTTTTTTTTTTAAAGACAGTAGGGCTTCAGTCACATGTTTTAGTTTCCTAAAAAAGGCCTGGATCTTTCATGAACCTCGTTAACCTCAATCACAGGAGTAATTTCAATGACATCAGTACATCAATTCCCATAAGCAAGTGTGTGTGTATTCATAAATGTATGCAAAAATCAAGCTTGATTCTGTCAAAGCAAAGAGGCAGAGGGTACTGAAGTCGAGCTACAGACCTAGTGACTAGTAAACAAAGTCTGATCTCATCTGTCTTTCTACATGTAGTCTTCATTTATTGCACTATGTGTAACTCCCCAAATTACAAAATACAAATATATTACATCTGAACATATGAATTTGACATTTTTCTCTTACTCTCTACATTCTGTGAGACAACCAGACATTTTGTCCTTTTTTTAGGAGTTTCAATTTAGCCCTTTTCTTCCAAAACATACAGATCTAATTATGAAATTACATAATAATAGTATTGAAATGTGATTAATTCCCAGTTCCACTATCAAGAATAAGTATCATTAAATACTTGTTATCACTATCTTTGAGACCATGACAGTTAAATTGTAAGCTTGTCTTTTCTGAAGTTAAGAATTTGGGAGGAACCATTCTCAGCCACAATTTCTGTACGTAACTATCCAAGTGAAGGAATGCTGATTCCCACTAATTATGGATGTTTATTTAACAAAGTTCTAACACAATTCAAAGCAGAACTTGGTATGCTAATATTTAGTCCATGTTAATGTTTCTTGCTGTTTGAGTGGAAACTAACTGAATAACTCTCAGAAAAGTCAAATACTGTATAAATCAATTAGCCTACGTGCTGGGAGTCAAGGCAAAACCCATGCATTGCAGGAGCACATCTGGTGTTTTACCTGTGTTTTGTGCATCTCAACTGAAGACTTCCTGCTACAGAGGAATGCTAGTTATTTCTAGACCTTAAGATACCACAGTGATGAGTTAAGAAATGGATGGGGCAAGGAAGTAGATAACTATACAAAAAGCCTGGGGAATTCCCCTCAAAGAGATGTTCTGATTAGCCTAAATGGTACCCATGCTTACAGCCCTGCTGCCATTTTCTAATTGAAAGAAATCACAAACCTGCTGTCACTGCTGATGCACATGACTAAGCTATCATCATGGCTGAGGATAGCTTAACATACTTTGCAACCCTCAGAGCTTTCCTGAAATAAGAAGCTGACAGAGGTAGCAACCATGATTCCTCTGATGGGTTTTGTTTATGTCAAAGAGCAGGGACTAGGTAAGGATAACTCAGAACGACAGTGGATTATTGAAAGCAAGTTGTCCTTTCCAAGAAGGCAGTGGCTTGGCACAGGTCTGTTTCCAGATGGATATCAGCCCTCTTGTAGGGCGAGGGAGAGGTGTATTGAAAGGACTGTGGGCTGAGTTGCTTTGGGGGATGTCTGACAGTGCCTACAGACATCAGCTGTATAAGGATTCACATGCCTTCTACAGCACTTACTGCACTTGTAGAGCTTGTTGATTTTAGCTACATCCAAGTTACTCAGCCCTTCTCTCTGCCCAATGGGTATAGAGGGGTCAGGAACTGGTACAATAGTTGGTTTCCCTGGAGTGCTGGAGAAATCATACCTGTAGAAATAAGGAAATCACATTTGTAGATAATTTCTTCTAAACAGTGAGGTTCTCTAACTGCATAATCATACTCATGTAACCACATGCACAAAATTTCAATGGAAAAGGGCAAGAAGCTTCTCAGACCCCAGTTTGTCTTCCCTGAAGAGGACCAGCATGGCAGCCATTTTGTGTGCAGCAGTTGAAAGCAAGAAAAAAAGCTGCATTGTCCCGAGAGGACAGCTTTCACCAATGTCTTGGCAAAATGAACTGAATCCCACCTTCATGGTTCCAGAGGCAGAGGAGCAGAAGTAGTTCTCAGTTACTAATTGTTTGTTTGCTATCTGCAATTTCCTGCCTCCTGTTAGACAAATTTTATTTCACAGTTTTGTTCCAAAGTTGTTACTTTCTAGTGGAGATAAAGGAGAAGGTACATGGTACAAGCTTGTACATTATGGACTAAAATACAATGATAAGACAGTGTTCCCAGATGAATATGAGGCAGCACACATCTTAATGATATAAAAAAATTACATCTTTCTTCTCTCTGTACCTAAATATTGTTGTCTATGATCAGCTGTTACTACATTAATGAAATCATTTAGACTTCAGATCTGCTTTCGATCAGTGACTCAGAGTTAGACTTTGGACCATAGCAATGTCAAAGGCCTCTAGCAAGAGAAAGGAATACAGTGAAAAAAACATTGTCCTATTTTTTTTATTCTATCCATATCAACTCTGTTTTCCAGGAATCCTGCTGACAAAGGAAGTATGTTCACCCTTAATATGTCCATTCACTCAGTTTTAAATGAACAGCAAGCCATTCCCTTCACAGAGAAATTTCTTCTTCCTAGGTCTGAGCAGAAGGTCTGAAAGCTGTTTGTTCCTTTGAAAAGACATCCCGAAAACAACTTACGCGCCATAGTGCATCACTGAAGAGTAGTCATAAGGAAGGCCCAGATTTTTGGAATTCACTTTTCCAAAGTTCCCTTGTTCTCCTGTAAGATAGGAAAGCAACATTTCAGTCAGAACAATTATTACTGTACTAATAGTACACTGTTTCCTGCCATAATCCTAAGAGTAACTTAGGATACAAATATGAGATCTTGGATCTATCAAAACCACCAGAGTCTTCTGAAGCCAAGGGGAACCTATTTTCACTCAGCCTAGTAAGTTTCAGAATATAAACCGAATCAAATAAGTCAAAGTTTTGATATAACCAATGAATCCATTCCAGTCTTCAAGTAAAGATATCCGTCTGTCCGTCTTCATTAGAGGGTCTCCAAATATATTTCAGTGCCTTATCTTGAACATTATAAGCATCTGACATATGTCCCCAAAGCCACATCCATACATTGAGAGGGAAATCTGGCTGACCACCTAGATCAAAAATTCAGAGGTGTGTGGGGGTGACCACCAACCTGTCTCGCTGAGTCCTTCCACCAAAGGGTTATAAGACCACAAAAGAAAGGGATACAGTTTGCCTGTTACTTGCCCAAAAGGACATGTTATCAGCCATGTTCTGGCTTTGTCACTGGTCAAACTCATCAACAGTGACTACAGTGAAGTGATATGACTTGCATGAAGCAAGGGGACTCAGTAAGATCAGCTAGAAACATTCTGTCTGAATATAGTTGTTGAGCATCTCATCACTTTGTCTTTTCAGCCTTAAAAAGCCCATATGAGGTAAGAAAGCATTACAGTGATACAGGACTGGGGCTCAGAGACAGAGACTGGAATTTGTGTTACCTAGCTTTATTTCTCTAGGTTAGGCACTGAAGCTATTCATCAAGGTTCCCAAGAGAGTCAGAGGAGGAGAGACAGACACACACAGTTGGAGGGAGTTTCATCTGAAGGCACCTATTTCTCTCCATTGACTGGACAGCACGAACACAAATTGCACCCTGGGTCTCTTGTCCACGGTAAGACAGGCGAGCAAGCAGGGGGCTGAATGCAGTCAGCCTGGCCTTGAGGCTAATGCCCTAACCACCGAGCACTCCTATCCAGTCCAACATCTGTACCTTCATTATTGTAACTAGTGGTTTGTAAACCACAAACCATCTGGATAAGAGCTCAGTGTTGGATGCTTGACAGAAAAATCTCTGGAGTCTGCACAACTTGGCTGGCAAGCTTGCAATCAGAGACAGTCTCTTCCAGTAATGTCCCTCAGCACTGGTCCCAGTGAGGGCTAGGACATGCAAAGAGAAGCTTCAAAATCCTGAATTACAGAAAGTCTGGGAATAAACATGACTTTGGAGCTTTTCATAGCTCAGAAACTCAGTTAAGGCTCAAATGGGTTCTCAACAGCATTGGCTTTCCTGACTCTGTTAGGTTTTTATCTCAATTCCTCTTATCTGCTATACCGACTTCAGAAAGAATTATCAGCTAGTGCACAGCTTCTTTTGAGGTGATGAACAGAGAACAGAGTTCAAATGCAGTGAAACATTTAAGCGTATGGCTACTGTTTGGCACATAGGTGCTTTGCTGAATTGGTTTGCTAAAAAAGAAAAAGTAACAGCAGCCTGGCTGGACAGAGGCCTTGCCAGCAAACTAATATCTGCCTCATCACAGGCCAGAGAGATTTGGCTGTCTAGACCAGCACATGTGTGGGGACTTCACCCATCTTTTCCACTCTAAAAGAAAAAAATGTATCTCTGCCAGAATCCAAGTGTAATGTCTCCGAAGAGCTGAAAAGGAAGCTTTGGCTAAAGACTCTGAATACAGTTTTTTTTCCCCAAAATTTTGGGAAAAACAAGCTGAGTTTCAAGTAGCTAAGTGGACAGCAACTGATCAGGCTGCATTTTGTCAAAACAAAGAAGTAGGATGACTTCCAAGGTAAATTGCTGGGTAAAAACAAAACCCAAACATCCACAGTACTGCAGCCCTGGCGAGAGAAAAACAGTTTGTGTGGGAGAGCTGGGAAGCTGCACAAGGTCTTGAGGTCTTGTTCTGCACCACTGAGGTCAGGGGGAACTCTGCCATCAGTGCTGTTAACAGCACAGGAGATGTACATTAACAGTCCATAAGAACATAGCTGTATTCCTCCATTTCCTTTTTCCTGCATATCTTTGCATTTTTTTCCTACAGTGCTTGTGCTGCACACACTCTGCATTCTAACTCCCTTGCCATGCCAGTCTTCTCAGCCTCTACTCCTGGTGAATGCTGTTAGAACACTGAAGATGTACCCCATCTCCTTTTGCATAGTCTTGTCTTCTTCACCTCTTCCTCCTCCTTTATCCTTTCATGATACCATGCCTGAATCAGAGCTTGGTTACATCCGTATCCTTTAGGAATGACAACATCTGAAGCTGTGGACTTACCCCTGCAAAACCAGTGCAAGATTTTATGTGTGTCTAGTGTTTTTGGTATAACTTCATGTTTTCAACTCCTCTTTCCTAGCACATCTTTTGCTAGGATTTCAAACATGGCACACCATTGTTGTGTAATGGCAAACAATTCATAGCAAAATTACACCTTAACCCTAGAGCTGAAACCTCAATAAAGAACAGCACAAATAGAATTTACTTAGGATATCATGGGAATAGCTGAAAAAAAGTTTGGAGAACAGTATGTTAGGAATTTGCAATAAAAACAATCAAGTTCCATCTGGAGAAAAAGACATATCTATTTTCAGCTGTACATGACACTGAAGAGTTGAATACATTGTCTGTTGAAAAGAGTTACTAGAATTTGGTATTCAATTGTCCAGCCTCATTTACTCTTATTTCCTATAATGAACCAAGTACAGTATTATCTTTTTACAGTGGTTGTGGGCTGTCCAGCTCTCATAGCTGTCAGACAAGTGATTCCTCACATCCTTTCTTCCCCTACCTTCCTTTTATGTACCACTTTCTCACTTTCCCTGGGACCTCCTACCATTCTGTCTGCCCTCTCCAGAGCCTGGAGCTCTGTGTATGCCCCATGTTCCCAGCACACAGATCAAGGGCACATGCCCAAACTATTCATCCTGCATTCCTTTCCTTAAATAACATTCACCTGTTTTCCCCCTGCAGATCTACCAGTCCTGATTGCTCCCCATTGCTCCTTCTTTTCATGGTGGTGTGTATTATTCTCTCCTCAAGGAGGAAATAATTGCAGTCCTTCCTCTTGCATCATGCCAGGTCCCAGAATTTTGCACATGCTAGCAGTTGCATGTGCTTCCATTCTCTCTGCATTGAGTCCCTTGTTCATCTACATTTCAGGCTATGTGCATTTCACTCACTGTCACTGCCAAGAGACCTACCTGCTGCTTCCCTATTTCCATGGCTTTCCGTGAGACAGAGTTGCTGTGCGATTCCCCACCATGATCTCTGAATATCCCATTTGACCCCCCCACCTCAGCTAAAAGTCCCCTAGCCTTGCCTCCTGGCTAAGTCTTTGCAACAACATTTTGCATTCCTGATGATCTTGGTATTTTGGAGATAAGGTGAGTCTGGCTCAAGATGGCAATCAATATAAGAATGTAGAGCTACTTTTAGGTGGCTTCTGCCTTGGAGGACCACACTAATGTAGGTGTAGCCACAGAAATTCCCCTAGTACAAAAAACACTGAATGAGAAATTCTGTCACACTGAATGTGCTGCTGCAATTCAGCCAGCGTCATCATGATTTATTTGCATTGCTGTTCACAGAAGAAGCGTTCTCCTTTATCTGAAAGTATACGTTTTCTCTTAAGATTTAGTGAACATACCTGCCACAATGTGTTCCCACATAATTTTGACGAACCTGTCCCGATCACTGCGTGCCTGTTCATGGATGAAACCCAGGGCGTGGTTCATTTCATGCTGAATTGCTCCTTTATCCATGCAACCATTTTTCACCAGGCCTACTGCTTGACGTCCTCCAATTTTTCCAAAGAAAGACCAGCAGCTAAGAATGGGCAATCAATAACCAAAATGATCACATTCAACAAATACAAAGAAATACACCATGGGGCTCCAGATGTGCAGCCACAGAAGGGGGCATGCAAATAGTTACTGGCATGAGATATCTAGCCTTCCGAAAGCTGCCAAACTGCACAGGGGTAGAAATAAAGCCTTTGTGATGAGTATGGCAAATTTTAAAACAGTAAAATGACTATATCAAAGTAAGATGAAGCAGTTTAAGTAGCTAAGCAAAGAACCTGAAACAATTACACTTCTTTACATTTTTACAAAGTTAAGGAAAATATCTCATTTTGAATTATACTCCATTAAGTCTACACACACTTATTCCTGCGATCTATTAACTGATGTAACTACCAGTATATCTAAAGAAAAATTGCACTGAATTTTGACTCCTAGGGTAAAAAAAGGCAATTACTTAAATCCAGATCAAAACAGAAAATAAGCTGAAAGACCTTTTGAGTGCTTCCACTCTCAGGAGACAGGGAGCTTACCTCTGCCCACGTTCAACATACACATAGTCTGTTTCCGTAGTGCGATTTACAAACTGCACACAGGTCAGCGTGGAGATCTCTTGCAGAGCATCAGCAATCCAAGACCTCTCTGTCAATGCTAGAAAGAGAAAGGGGCCAGGAGAAATCTTCCTTGGTTAATCAAAACCAAGGTGCATTGATGGGATGCATTCCTTTAAAACTTCACAGCACTCGTTAGCTTTTTATCATCCAAGTATAATAAAAAAAGGGCACAGAGTCTTCATAGATCTTCAAGTTGATTGGACTTTTAAGGGGAGATGTAAGAATTATAGCTGGTCCTTATGCATATTCTATAGGACACAGCTGATAGAAAGGAAATATTGGCATTGTTTCTTCCATTAGACAGAATGGAAAAAATGAAACAGGTTCAGATACAAATAATTGGATTAAAGTATCCCAAATGAGCCATCTGAGCGTAGCTAAGCACCAGAAACCTATTTTGTTTATCAGAGATAACAAATGTCTGCTACACACCCCTTGGAATCACTTGAGAGCCAGTGTTCAGAGGCTCTGAAGATCACAGTGTTTCTATTCAGGTACCAAATAAATATCAGAGTGTTTATCTACTTTTGAACATTTTGGCCTAATTTGGCTTCCTCAATTATGAATCATCTACAACTGATTTGTATCTCAATTTCCTCATCTTTAAAGTTTGGAGAGACAGAAGTAGATGGAATAACCCTCACCTAACCACAAGAGTATATGCTGCAGTTCTGGAAGGACGCAGGCAGAGGAGCAGCCTAGATAATGCAAAGATTGGGCTTTCCTCAGCTCAAATAACACAGATTCCCTTTCCCCAGAAACAGGAATCAGGCACAGGCTGTATTTCACTTCCATGCCATTTTCTCTCAAGGTAAGATCTTTTAAGAAGGGTCTGAACAGAAGCCTCAGACCAGAGAAGCCTCAGCAGGGGAGAGATGGAAGACCTGCACAGCCCTTATGAAGTCTTCTGGAAGAAAATTTTCTAGATTAAGGCATCAGTCCTGAGGCTTTTGCACAGGATAGAGCCTGTTGATTGACTAGAGGGAAATAAGGGAAAAAAATATCTCCAAGGATTTTTCCTCCATTTTTGCCTCTACAGGATTTCTAGTGCAGGAATATTTCTATGAGAGATTTGAAAGAAAATTACAGCGTTCAAAAAAGTGCTCCTAGCGGCAATCTTGACAAAAATATGTTCATAATGCGAACAAATTGTATTACTTCTGTACATGCTAAATATCAAAGTGCATTATTTTTTTTTGAGCTAATATTTGTAATTAGAATTAATTAGCTGGTATTTATATAACAACTACTGCCCAAGTAACCACATATTTTAGTGTCTGTAACTGAAATGCTTGGAGTCTTAGCAAAACTACCACAGGGCTAACAGATTAGCAAAAGAGACATGTCAATAAATTCTCATTTGGACAAAGATTGCTTTTGGTGCATGAAACAGAAACATAAAATAACAGAGAGTATAGGGACGGGAAGATTAATGCTAACTTTAGAGCATCCATTTCCATACACTCACAGAAATCAGAAGAGATGTTAATTGGAACCTTGACTAGTCCGTCTTGGGACTTGGGCCATAAACAACTCTCACAGTTAATTGCACTGCGTCGTCCTCTTTTCAAGAGGATGTCTCCTTCATACACAGCTATTTCGCTACCTGGCAGATGAAGAAAATAAAAAACACATAAGGCGGTGAGAAAGCAACTAACCAAGCTTTTGTACCTTTGGAAATTTCTTTCATTGAAGTTAACTTCCCAATAATGTGAAAAAGGATTAGTAAATTAAGACTGAGTGAATCTAGCATTCACCATATGCTAAGACTGGTTAGGTCTGCCTTGCTTCCTGGATAGAAAAGATTAATATTAATATCACAGTGCAGATGTAATCAAAGTCATGACTAAATATATTTATATATAAATATATAAATAGCTTTGAGAGCCTTCAGAGTGGAAGGCTAAGTATTATAAGTCATTGCTCTCTTCATTAGAGCTTGTGAGTTGAAGAAAAACCAAAACTGACCTCTATAAAAAATGGGATGAATCATACAAAAGAAATTATTATTTTTATCATGCACATTGAATGCATGCAAGCTGGTAATTTCCAGGTTAACTGTTAATTTGACATAAGACATTGTGACATGCTTCTCAGTTTGGACTCCAAAATACTTGGAATACATTTCTCACAGACAAGAGCTATTGGTTATTATGCCAGAAATGTACAATAGTCTTGGGTACAGCAGACAGGGAAGTGCCTTATATCACATAGGAAAGAAACCAAAGTGAAAAGTATGCTGATTTGCTGAGGCTACATATGGAAAGGAACATTCCACATAGCAATTGCTCAATAAGTCGTCTTAATTTCTTTATTGTGACAGCATGAATAATGCTCACGCTGAATGCGACTTTAAAACACATCTGAATTCTGTAAATTGTTTTCCACTAGTGCTGGAAAATATTTTCAAAGAGAAAAATCTACTGAATAATGAGAATGAAGTATAAAGCAGCAGCCCCACCAAAACCTACAGTTATTTATATAATTACAATCACACTCACCTAAGTCATTGTTTCTTGTAGCTATCTGCAAAAAAAAAAAGGCATATCTTTTAATACATGCTTATCTCCATAGCAGAAAACTTCTATCATGTAGAATCACAGCAGTAAAAGTTTGTAACTAATTTTAAGATAGAGCAACTCAGCAGCAGCAATGTAAATTCTCAACATCTGAGAGCAGGGACACACCTGGACAGGTTTACTTAGTGCAAAGCTATAGAGAAATGCTAAATGAGTTGGCAGAAGAAAGTACTTCATCTTCAGGTTTCCAAGATGATCTTCTCTGCTCTGCAGCTCCGTTCTCAAAGCTGTGGTTAGTTTACTTGGGGCAAGTTTTATGGGAAAGCTGCTGCTGTTGTTAACAAGTGTAACAAAATTAGATAACAAGAAGAATTTTCACGAAACAAACAAGCTGCAGGACCTCTCAAGAGAATTTCCAGTCTCTCATTTCTTATTTATCTTCCGAAAACAGAGGAAGTGGAGCAATAGGAAAGAAAATCCAGCAACGTCAAAGTGACTCATCTTTAATTCTAAGAAGAACCCATGATCTGCTGCAGGTCCCCTCACTGCGGACCAACGGACAGGATATCCGGTAGCAGTCTGTTTATAGCAAAACTCAATGTCAAGGAACTCTTTGATCCATCCACACTGAATACCTGTCCTAGAAACTCCTTAGCTTGCTGCCAGGAGCCACCCTGCTCTGCAGACCCTGTCTCCTCTGCGCACAGCTCTCAGCCAGGCACTGCTGGCCAGGAGGACTGGAAATCTGTTGGAGCCAGAGATGAATCCCATTGTTGGTTGAAACTGTTTTTCCAATATGGTATCTTGCAATATAATCCTCACTGGCAGTGACTGCATCTCTTTCTGGAGTCTACAAATAAATAAAACCACCAGCTCCCAGAGTTTTTGTTTCCCACCTTCTGGGAAGCCCTCCTTCCTTTGATGTCCAGGAATAGAAACAAGCCTAGAAAGGCAGGCTGAATCCTAGAAAACCCATACTGCAAGAGAAGGCCATACAATGGGAATATTCATGTTGAAGCCACATGAACACCACCATAGGCAGGCCGATGTTGCTTTCTTCTCCCAGCCCCTGCACAAAAACCTAGGTGCTATAGAAAATCCTAAGGACTTGCTGCATCAGCTCTTTAAGAAGGAAGCAAGAAAGCCTTTAGAATTGCCTGCAAAGGCAAAATTCAGAGAAATCCATGTGGTTCGCAGCAGATCGAGATGGCAGAAGGTGCCCTTCCAGACAGATGCATGGGCTGATCCTTTGTTTTTAAGGAGTACTTTGCTAGGAAAATTTTAGCTGATACTACATAAAGCTTTGCTGCTAATATTTTCATTTTACCCTCCTAATAGTTTGTTCTTAAACTTTCTCAAATATTCCGCATTTCTGTGACTTCCACAATTCACCTACAGTTATATTTTACATGCAGATCATACTCTAATAACAAGGTGCAGAAATAAAGGACCCCTTTTACTTTGGCTGATAAGAGTATGAAATTCAGAAGCCCTCATTAGTTTGTTACATCAGTAACCACAGGTCCTCCCCTACAGTTCCAAGCAACCTCCGTGTCTATGTAAGATCAGGTTCAAACGAGAAACAGAGGGAGTCACAGGAGCACATTTCTGCTGCTACACATACAAAATGACAGGGGAGAGAGCAGAAGTTATTAGACAACAAAAGCAAGACGACCAGATCACTGTGCAGAGCCTGGAGCTGGGTCACTCCAGGTGTGCAGCAAGGAGGGACAGAAGGGCCCTTTGAAGTTCTGCCATGCAGTTTTGCATATCCATTCCATGAAAGTAACTCTAGAGTCAGGAGATTTATCCCATGGTTTAATTCATTTTCCTGACTGCCAGAAAGAATGGTGTATTTTTCAAGGCTAATTAGTAGACCAAAGTCTCATATCACCTGATAACACATTATCAGAAGTTGTCTCAAAGATGCAAATTTTCTTTTTGATGCTGTTTGTCTACATTGTCTGCTTTGATATTCTAGCAGAATAATGTTCAGGTCACAGTCTCATTATCTATCCAAATAATTTGATTACACAGCTGTAACTTGCATTCTTTCTCCCATACACCTTTTCTTACACTGCCTTTTGACATTTCTCATTCTTAGCCACACTGTCCTTGATCTGCCCTGATATTTTATCACTGCTGTTTGTTGGTAATTTTAATGTGATGCTTACTTAGTTTCACCTTCATTCCACAGCAGAGGGGCACTTCTTTCACCATGTAATCCAAGTCCCTCTTGGTATGATATTAAATGACAAGGTAGAAAAACCAAACTTCTGTTGCTGTTTAAGTATAGGTTTTTCCAGCTCTGTATCAGTAATGGGTATCACCAGAAGCAACAGGAATAGGAAGTCCAATGATTTTTCCATAACGAGAAAGTATAGAGATCTACCTAAAGCATTAGAGTGTATGAACCTCAAGGGAAACAGAATTCAGGAGAGTGAAAGGCCATGTGATTGTCTAAGGATTCAGTGGGATATCGCTCTGATGCTCAGTTTCTCAGATATTTGCACAAAAGGTTATGCAGACAATTGCTAGTGAACAAGCAGTTGGCTTAACTCAGCCGCATGTTCACCCTAAGCAGCTTACTGTTTTTCAGGAGGATTCACGGTTACCTCTACATGTTTAAACAGGCCAATTGTTCTTACTACATTAGGAGTCCTAATTTTTTAAGTCATAATAATAGAAAGTATGGCACTTACTACATGACAATTCTTTTTAAACCTGTTTTGTATGACACCGCATTTGGACAGAAGTCAGATTCTGCTGAAAGGCATTTTAAAATAACTTTGTATCCATTAAATGAAACTATTACACTATAACAGGCTGAAAAGAGTTAACTAGTAAAAACATGCACTGAACTTCTTTTGTGTTTAGGACGAAGTTATTTAACAGTTACCTGTTTACAGATAATGTGTCCTTCAGGATGCTAGGATTAGTGAAAACATGCAATTCACGCCTCATTATTTACTGATTGGGAGAAGAAAATGAGCTTTCCTGCTTTTCAGTTGCCAGTTAATCAGTTTAAAATAATTAAATCATCGATCTTGATCAAGTGCAAAAAAATGTTTTGGCTTTTGCAGAAAAGGTCAAAACCACAAAATTAAGATTTTGTAAATCTGGTCCCCGGTGCCTAGTCCTTACTTCGTCCCAGTTACCAGGCAGCAAAAGCAAACCTTTCATAGAAAAGGTTACCATCAAGCACAGTATATACTTGATACAGAAACACTTGAATGCTAGTTTCAATATAATTAGTTGGTTTTAGTGTAGGTTAGAGTATCTTATGCCATAGCATATATTGACATATTTCCACATTTTAGGTACATTTAAATGAAAAATTTATTCTTTAAAAGAAAAAATCTCCACTATAAACACTGAGATACATTGAAATTAGTTTGAAACCAACACCCATTTGGACTCTGTTCCACCTAAACCACTCCCATAGCAGTTTGAACTCTGCTATTTTACCATCATTTATCTTTTACCTTTCCAGTGTCAGAATGATATCATAATGTTAGAAAGGAGAGGTACAAGTCCAAAGACTTTGCACTGGAGATAGCTACAGGTGTCAGCCTTAACCTGAGATGATGGCTAGAGACAAAAATCAGCTGAATATTTTACAGGTAACTTGGTTTTATCTGGTTTGCAGTAGCTGTAGGCTAAAGAGAACTTTACTATAGTTTTTGAATTTGGTGCATGGGGAAAACTGGGTTCCTGGAGACAAGCTACAAAGGTTGGTTTCAGTATCTGAGTATCTAAGTACCCAAGGACAGACCCAGATGGGACTGGTGGTCTATAGCTTCCCTGGTTCTGATAAAACCTGATCTGAAACCAGTGTCCAACTGGAAACATCACCCTAAGGCTTTGTTTTATTTACAATCCATTCAGGCACATAACATAAGTCCCAATCTAATGCTGCTCTCTAGTGGTTTGCCACTTGTGCAAGTGGGACATGTTTCCAGAAACCGTCAGAAGTCCCCATCACCACTCACAGCCTGCTCACTCCTTTGATCCCTGTCTGCACAGTACCAACAGACCAGCAACTGCTTCCTGCAGAAAATGCTTGCAAGCATGAAGAGTCTGTCCTGTAATCTGTACTGAAAAGCAATGCACCAGTTTTAGCCCAAACCATCTTAAAATTTTTTTTAGCATCTGCAACTTTTTACTTCACTGTTTACTTCCCTTAGATACTTAGAGATTATACATACAGATGCCACAATAGATTTCTGAGGTGCTCTGATAGTCAATTAGGAAAACAAGCCATTTACCCGCACCATTTTCCCTTACAGGATTTTTGAATCTTAATATTTATTTTATCAATGAGTCCTCTGAAAAAGCGTTTGGAAAGCTTACCTTCCAGAACCCAAATACTCTTCTGGCTCTGCCCTAGCTCCACTTTAACTTCACAACATCAATCATTGTCCCTTTCCCTGGTTTGCCTTGAAAGACAACCAAGGACAAATGGGCCAGAGGGGAGCAGCAGCAAAACATCTGCTCAACCAAGGTGGGTCCCTAGGAGCCGTGACTACAGCAGCACCTCAGCACAGCCCACTGACAAGGCATTGAATCACATCTAGAAGCTGAAGGCAGAGACAAGACTTACAACAAGAATACAACATAAGTCCAAAGTCTAGTAAGGAGCCCAAGACCAAACTGAAAACATGCACCCCTGCAAAATAGCCTAAGAAGATAGGAAAGGGTCAGGCCAGAGCTTAAATGGAGCCCTTGGGCCAATGGGCAGAGGCCATGGGTAGAGCCCCAGGTGAGGCCGGTCAGCAGTCATTAAGCTCTGTCGGCACCCTCCATCCCTAAAAGCTACACCACCTTGCAACAGCCTTCCTCACTCCCTCTATCCCAGTGTGGGCTGTCCAGTGAACACAGCTGCAGCTCAGATAACCACATCCACTGGATCACCGACTGGATCATCACCAGCTTCTTCAGAGACCTCTAGGAGGTTGTATTTCAGGCTCTGTGAAAGCTATGTTGACTCAGCCCCAACATATGATATTTATCTCTGACTCTACTACTTCCATTTTTATTACATATTTCTTCCAACCCTGGGTATAAAAGAAATACAATCACTCATCCTGGATCCTTTTAAAAGTTTGATTGCACTTTCCTGTAGCTCTGGCACTGCGGTGATTTAAGCAGCACTTACCAAGCTCACTCAGCAGCTGAGCAGTTTCATATGTGAGCTGCCTCTGAGCTCTTGGGTGAGCATCACCTGCTCCTAGCAA